TGTGTTTCTCCGGCTCCCTATCTGCAATGGACAGCAGAGGACAAGTGCAGGAGGACCCAGGACATTTTTCCTCACTCTGAACGGAAACAAGACATCATCCTTTCCTCCAAGACATTCTCAACTCAGACAGGAAAGGCTGTTGCGTCACCTCTGACCTGTGGTTTTTTAAGGGTTCCTCAGGACTCCAGTAAAATGTTTTAATATGTGAATAATGAATGGATGACATTGTGACACTGTCTCGTTCTGGCAAGCTCTCATTTCCTCACTTTTAATGTGATAATCCTCAAGGTTAACTTAAAACAGAATTTGGGAAAAAAAATACATTATTTTTGGGTGCTTGGATGTCCACTGAGATGTGGGTGATATTGCTAAATCAAAAGTATGCCATGTACTCCATCAGAATTGTTTTCTTTAGTGTTTAATTTACATGTTGCTCCATGCAGGATTTTAACCACTACACCACATCTTGGTAATGTCAGCATCTTTAACTGTAAGGGTTGTTATTCCTCATGTGTTTTGTCGTTAATATCCACTTTATTACCCATATACAGTACATTTTAACTTGGCTGTTCATCTTTATCCCTCTCAAAGGGATATGTTTTGCCACAACTTCTATAGTACATGTTCTTTGCCTTAAAAAATTCCTATCTATCATCACCTTTAGCACTGTGAATATAATCCCCAGTGCACTGAAACTAACACCAGCGACCAGATCAATGATTAATAAGGCACAATATTGTCAGAGGAGTTGGCAGTGTAAGATAATACTGTCGACGCACTCCCATGGGGCCTGTAACCTTGTCCTTGTGCTCAAAATCAGCTTGCAGGTTTGAGGCAGAGACTGAAGGAATGAGCATGGTGGAGAATCTTTTGTCATATTTTTATCTGTTGTTTATACTGTACTGGTTAGTCCCCTGTGAAAAATTAAGGACAAAAGAGTGGTTTGAGGAGGGGGGGCTGGACAAAAGTAAAATAACCTGAAGGGGTTTCTTTGCAGAATCTGAAATTATTGACAATATGTTTAAATAATTGTTTTTCCGTAACTCTTTTTAAATTTTTTATGTCGACCTCTGCAGGCTTCTATAAGTCTTCAAAAGTTTGTGGTGTAAGTCACTCCCTCTGTTGTGCATGCACTGCAGCACATCAGTTCAGCTGCACTGCTGACAGCAAAGAACAGAGTCCTGAGTCGATTTATTAGACCGCTGCTGTTAAGTACAAAACCTTCTATTACAATCATTCCATTATCTTGTGTGGGGGCATTTTTCAGACACCAATGAGGATTGTTAAGGAGTGTGTATTATTATGTGTTTTCGGTAATTTATCAACTAATATTTGTCGATAGGAAGAAAGGGATATATTTGGAAATAAACAATGTTTTGTATCTTGTTTAGGAATACTATTGTTTTTTTTGTTTGTAAGACGGATTTAATGTGTATAGTTCCTAACTAGACTTTTTTATCAAATTATGATAGATGAATAATATGATGAAATTAAACATTGCATTAGTTCATGCAGGACACAGAAGTCATACGCCCCAGCTGACAGCCTGCTGTTTGAATCTTCATTTCTAACCAGTAAGACACCAATCACAGCCCATTCTTATAACAAGTCATTCCATTTAAATATGACTCCCTCCTGACTGATCCCTGCTACACCAATGCTGACACACTTACCGCTGCTGCTGGCAAAGCTTTGAACATTTTCAAAACAAAAGATGACGAGGAAGGGATAGAAGAAATTCTGCTGTGGTCAGCTGAAATATCTGTCAGATGTCATTGACTGTGGAGAGTTTTCAGTCATCCTCAAAGAAGACAATTCCAGACTGTCTAAAAATTGGACTATGGCAAGTTTATTGTTGACTTTGGCATCTACAGAGACATCACACATATTTAGCTATTATATCTGAACTGCCAATGTCTGACGCGGCACTCTTTTTTGAGGACCACAGATGTTTCTTGGCAAAGGTGGCAAATGTGCATTCAAGCATTCAGTCAAAGATTTGACTGATCCATCGTCAATCTTGTTCTCAAAAGCAGACACTTCACAGGGCATCAGGCCCTCTCCTGTGTCGTGTGAGGGTCTTTATTGCACACAGTGAGCCTCTGCCCAAAAACTGTGACTTAAAAGCAATTGGGTTTCCCCACTCTCTGAAAGTGGAGGAATGGAGCATTGAAAAGGTGACTCCTAAGAATAACTCTTCAGACTACTCTTTGCATAAATTATAATGAGCATTCATACAGTACAAGCTTGCAGATATTGCAGCGACTGCAGGTCTGTGTCCCAGCCACACTCGTCTTGTGAAAAAAAAGTGAAAAACCACCTACACCTTTCAACATCTCAGAGCTTAGCAAAGCTTTAAAGAAGCATCCAAATTGTTGTTCTGTTACTTATTTTGTTACTGGTTTGGTTCAAGGTTTTCTGCTGGCTTAAGTTTTATTCCACTCTGGAGCAATCTATGGTCTAGGAAACAAATCATAGTTTTCTGCGATAATGATGCAACTGTTAATATCATCAATAATGGACACTCTTCTATTCCCTTTAGTAGCAGACTAATATGTCATCAGCAGTTTTTTTTTATCCAGATTTAAATTCCACAAATTCAGAATCCTTGGCCCCCACATTGCGTCTCAAAGCCGTCCTAAACTAGAAGGCACTCTTCAGTCCTACATACAGTGGTGTGAAAAAGTGTTCTTTTTTTTGTCCCACTGAAATGTTTCAGATAGTCAAACAAATTGAAATATTAGACAAAGATAACACAAGTAAACATAAAATGCAGTTCTTAAATGAAAAAACCGACACACCTGTTCTCATTCAAGAAATCACCTAAATAGGACCGGCCTGACAAAGTGAAGTAGACCAAAAGATCATCAATAGCTCAGCTAGATATTGTGCTGTGATCCAAAGTCATTCAGGAACAAATGAGAAACAGAGTAATTGAGATTTATAAGGTTATAAAGCCATTTCTAAAGCTGTGGGACTCCAGCGAACCACAGTGAGAGCCATTATCCAACAGTGGTGAACCTTCCCAGGAGTGGCCGGCCAACCAAAATTATCCCAAGAGTGCAGCGACGACTCATCCAAAAGGTCACAAAAAACCCACAACATCCAAAGAACTGCAGGCTTCACCTGCCTCAGTTAAGAAAGAGACTAGACATGCGTGGCAAAGTTCCAAGATGAAAACCACTGCTGAGCAAAAAGAACATAAAGGCTCGTCTCAGTTTTGCCAGAAAACATCGTGATGATCCAAGACGTTTGGGACAAAAGACAAAAGTTGAACTTTTTGGAAGGTGTGTGTCCCATTACATCTGGCGTAAAGTAACAGCATTTCAGAAAAGGAACATCATACCACCAGTAAAATATGGTGGTGGTAGTGTGATGGTCTGGGGCTGTTTTGCTGCTTCAGGACCTGGAAGACTTGCTGTGGTAAATGGAACCATGAATTCTGCTGTCTACCAAAAACTCCTGAAGGAGAGTGTCGGACCATCTGTTCATGACCTCAAGCTGAAGCTTGGGTTCTGCAGCAGGACAATGATCCAAAACACACCAGCAAGTCCACCTCTGACTGGCTTAAGAAAAACAAAATGAAGACTTTAGAATGGCCTAGTCAAAGTCCTGACCTGAATCTGATGAGATGTTGTGGCATGCATCTTAAAGCAGTTAAGGCTCAAACCCTCTCATGTGGCTGAATTACAATAATTCTGCAAAGGTGAATGGGCCAAACTTCCTCCACAGCACTATAAAAGACTCATTACCAGTTATTGCAAACATTTGATTGCAGTTGTTGCTGCTAACGGTGGCCCAAGCAGTTATTTTGTTTAGGGGGCAATCACTTTTTCACACAGGGCCATGTAGGTTTGGAGTTTTTTCCTTTTAATAATAAAAACCATTTTAAAAACTGTATTTTTGGTTTACTTGTGTTATCTTTGTCTAATATTTCAATTTATTTGATCTGAAACATTTCAGTGTGACAAACATGCAAAAAAATAAATCAGGAAGGGGGCAAACACTTTTTCACACCACTGTAAACTCTGCCTCCCATTTCATGCTACTTGGACTTGTATAGATTATAATTAAAATGTGTGATTCTGCTTGGTCCTATTTCACTTTCACTTCTGTGCAGCCTTCTGTTCCTGTCATGCCTGTTAACATCCCCGTGCAGTTGTTCACAGACAAATGCAACCTTCTCCCATCCAAGCATTTGTAGCAGGTATTTAGTTTCAGTTAGGATGTGCACATCCTTCAGTATGCAGTCTGCTCAGGAACCCCTTCATTTGCCTCCTGTTCAACAGCCTAAAAGGCATCCAGGAAGCAATGGTAAGTGGCTTCCCCTCTCATTACCTCCAGTGCAAAACTGGTGTCACACCTAACGCATGGGTGTTTTGGATAATATGCAGATTTATATTCCCTGTTTTGGCCATCAGTGCCAAGCATAACTGTATTTCCATTTTTTGCAATACATGGTTAAATCTATGATGAGAATGTTCCTGACCGAAATGAAGCATTGTGTTAGTTCATGCAGGAAACAGAAGTCATAAGCCCCAGCTATAATCACCTGACAGTCCACTGATTGAATCTCCATTCCTAATCAGTCACACTCAATCATGGCCCATTCTCACAACAAGGTGGTTGCATTTAAATATGTCTCCTTCCTCCTACACCAATGCTCTCACACTAACTGCTGCTGCTGATAAGGCTTTGGCTCTACCACCCCAGCCTCCACCTTTCTAATTCAGTTCTAACATGGCAAAAGGTTAAATGGTGTTCATGTCTTACTTATGCCCACTCTTGCATTGCATTGTTTTGGCTTACCATGTTTCTTGGCTAATCTGGGAGCCATCAGCACAAAGGATAACTGTATTTCTGTTTGTTGCAATGAGTGGTTGAATCTTTGACTCAAGTGTTACTGACTGAAACTGAAATGTAGCACATCAACATTTAGATATTATATGGAGAGATCTGCTTTGACCTTCTATAAATAGTTGACTCCATATGACACAAACAGGGACTTACTTAATTTTATTAAAAACTAAACATTTCAAATTTGACATATGCTCTTCCAAGTTCCAACTTTAAAATGTTAGGAGCTGTAAAGCAGTTTTGATGCATCAGAGTGGAATACCAATAAAGGCATAGTGTGAAATGTAGGGAAATTTGCTCATTCACATTAATGCCAAGCCTCATGTCTGTATGCTAAATATGAAGCTACAGATAACAGCAGGTTTGCTAAACTTAGAAAGACTGGAAAGAGAGGGAAACGGCTGGCCTGATTCCTTCCAAAGGGAACAAAATCTGCCTATCAACATCTCTAAAGCTTACTAATTACCAAAGGACAATGACAAAATGTTGAACTCTTCCTTTAAATCACACTTGTTTGACTGTACCTTCCCTTGATAGGCAGACTGGACATTAAATGTACCCTTTTCTGCAATCAAAATGACTTATACCATAAACTTACTAAAAATATACTGTCATTTGGGAAAGATATACTATATACCTTTTGTTTGAACTTAGAGCAAGTTAAAGCAGACCACATTTTATCTGGTTTAAATTGTTTGTGTTCAAATATTTTCACTGTCTTGGCCTGACAGAAAAGCTCTGAATCTTCCCCTCCCACACAGATCTCTCTCCTCTTTATCAGACCTGCCTCCCGCTTGGCTCTGCTCACCTCTTCTTGCTGTCATGCATGGATACAGAACCTGCCATTGCTACTTTATACTGCAGGTCAAAAGACAGATTCATGTAAGTAAGGATTACAGGATTTCTGTGTGTGTTGTAAAAATGCCTTTACTTCTGTGTGTGTGTGTGTGTGTGTGTGTGTGTGTGTGTGTGTGTGTGTCTGTGTCTGTGTTAGAGAGAGAGAGGGTGGTGCTAGTCTATACCAGCCCCTAAGAGCCGCTGCCTTGTGCATTGTGCCTTCAGTTAGCTGTCCGTCATCAGTCCAACAATGTTTACTGTGTGACCCCTTTTGTCTCAAGGCAATAGGCTGTGCGTATGTGCAGACAGAAAAAGAGGCGTGACAGACACACATATACACACACAAATGAGACACAATGCAGAACCCTCTCTGAGGTTCATGTAACGCGATGTGAAGAATGACTCAGGCTTTGGAAACATTTTATAAACACCAATGACCTTCATTTGACACTGTGCAGTTTTTCTTAATAGTATTGTTTCCAACAGAATGAGACCTTTTTGCTTTGAAAGTGAATGATTTAACACAAATTGAAACGCAATAATAATGCAACAATACCAGCATACTGTAAATTCACCTAATTTACTGAAAGATGATTAAGCATATTGACAACCCAGCTCAATCTTTTGCAAGCGCATTGAAATTCTATGACTGGCCATGTTGATATAACGGATTTAATTTCACTGATTTCAGTTATTTCTCCTTTTCTGCTTTGTGAGGAATGATAATTACCTATTGGAGCCAATAATGCATCTAATAAATCAGAAGTGCTAGGACTACAGTTGTCATTCCAAACCAAAGCCTCATGCTTAAATTAAAGAGCCATTTATTTGTAAACCAGGAGACATATAATTTAATAAGTGCACTGAGATTCTTGAACTTGAACTCCCCATAAGTCAGGTTTATGAACATCTTTTTATATTTATATATATATTTTCACTCCCTTAAAGCATACCAATAGGTCTTAGAATCAAAGGAAAGGAATTCTGATTCATCTTCTTACTCTTTTTTTTTTTTTTTAATTTGGCCCTGATTTCAGATTTCCCAAAAAGATCTTGTAAAAGTCACATTTTCCCAAAATTGCAAGAAATATATCCAAATCTAGCAATGACACCATCCAAATGTTGTTAAAGCTAGACTGCAGCTATTAAGTTTACACTTTTGATAGCTTGCTTCAAGGGCAGTGATTCTCAAACTGGGGGGCGTAGAGCCACTTTAGGGAGGTTGTGGGTCGTACAATTTGAAAATGACGCCTCTGTAATGAAATAGTTAAAAGCTTTGGAAAATACATTTATTTGCTTTCTTTAATTTATGAACTGGACTGTCCACTGCTTGTGTGTGTCCAGAGCAGCGTATCTGCGACTCATGGGAGACACCTCTTTTTGAGATAACAAGAGTTGGCAATGACAGGTCCATCCACTGCTCTGGAGAGCAAACTAGAGCATTTAACTAGCATCAAAGTGCCTTTATGGACCTCTGCCATTTCCTGCTCATACATTCAGCCAACAGACATTCATAAGTTGTGTCTAGTAGCTCTTTTACCTCTGATTTGGTACCCACTAACTCCTGAGGAAATTACATGGATCTTTAGCTAGCACGATGCTACTTAGTCAGCCACTTTGTATCTATTTTTGTCTGTTGGAATTGGGTAGGCGGTGTTATGAAATGTTGGCAAACAATGATTGATGAGAACAAATTAGACTCAACAATGAGCTTAAAGGCTAAACAAACTCAGTAGAGCCGAAGAGATTGGTGATTCTGCATGAATTCAGCAATAAATGATCTTTACATTACACAGTAATTTGATAAAATTTAAAAATTTAAAAAACAAGGCGCTGCAAAATTAACAATCAAGACAATAGGCTATTGAGTTGATTCACAAAAACACAAATTATCCATACATTCAAGTGATATAACATATCCAACAATCATGTTGTCTTCTATTATGTGTACAGGCAGCCATGTGTTACAGTGAAGTTTGGACAGGGTCTGTGACAAAGACCACAGTCCTATTGCATGTATTGTGTTAACTTATTATTAAACTAAGGAAAAAAATTAGATCAGAGGGAGAAGTCATTCCAATTAGCCCGAGTTTAGCCTCACTGAGCCTCTCATTGACCATCTTCAGTTTGACCCCAAGTCAGTTACATATCTTCATGTGGTGCATACATCACCAAGAACATTTTAAAATGTGCATTCCCCCCCACATTTACATTGTCCCACTCATTCTGCATCTTCTATTTACATTTTAGCCTTTCAGCTGGTGCTCTTATCCATAATATCATACAATAATTGAGCAGTAGTCAGGTCAAGTTGTTGTCAGATGTGCGGACCAAGGATACAAACATATTTATGAAAGATTTTTTCATTTTACATTTTCTTGAATGTGCGACAGTCCAATTTGTAGATGACCCCTTTAACCACTACCTTGTGCCTCAACTGCATAGGCTTAGGCTTCTTACAACCTTCTGTTTAAAGAGAATATGTTGAGAAGAGCTTTAATCAAATCGCCCATTTACTGTATGCTATGCTCACACTACAGGACTTGTTTTCAATCCCAGACTGCAGCGCCTACTGAATAACAATACAACATCAAAATATTTCACTTCTGTTGGTGAAGAACACACCCTTTAGTTTCAGATGTTTATCAGCTAATATGTGAGCTTTTCATTTAAGTGAATCTCCCTAAATACCACTTGAGTTAACTTCCTATGCTTTGTGTGTGTCCTGCATACTAACATTGCATCAAAAATCAAAAAAGTGGCATTTGTGCTATGTGAATGGAGTACAATTTACAGAACATAAATTAAATGCTGATATAAGCTTTTAGATATCACTCACATATAAATTATATGCCACAGTTGAATTTGTATCTGATCACATGTTGAGAAAAAAACTGGGACATTTTCAGCTTCATTGTGAGCATAACCATGGAATAATTCTTCTTCAGTGTGTTACTTTTAAAACCTTTCACCTTTAACCTGTGAATTAGATCTGATTGCTTATTGCTAACATCTTTAACAAGCAGATATTACAAATTCAATTCATTTTGCCTCATACATAGTCCAATCAGCTAGTGACTGAAGCTGAATCTTTTTTTAATCAGATTTCTTATAATATTTGGGCATAAAGCCTGATGTAATTTAGTTGAGGCTAAATGCTCTAAGATCCAGGGGCCAAAATATGCAGTGCAGTGTGGTTACATCTCATATGAGATTAGCCAGACTAGAGGTAGTCTCTCTGCGACCCTGACGGTCCATATGTCCAGACACAGTGAAGATATTCAAAACCCGGTCCACCAACCTTCGTCCATGCCTTGTCCTTTCAAGCAGGACCACCACAATGGAGTATATCCCAACGCCCACAACTGCAGCCCCACCTCCGGCTAGCAAAACCACTCCAGAGATGTACATGTCATTAAGGGCTTGGCCAGGCTTTGGCATGTGATTGGCCAGGGCCAGACGTAGTAGAACACCTCCACAAATCAGCAGTGACAGCCCGGTAATCAAAACCACAAACAGGTCTGATAAACCACCACTTTTTAGCATGTTGATCCGCTGTCGGCTTCGAATGCAGTTCATGTCCTGCACAGCCGAACTGAGCAGTTGTTTGAGCAGGACTCCCAGGGCTAGCAGGCAGAGGGCCGTGCCTGCGCCCAGACGCCATTCGCTTGAGACACTGGTGGTGGTGGATAGTAGGCCGACGCCACCCAGCCCACAGCCCAGGATTAGAAGTACAGCCACGCAGTAGCATAGCAGAGACTTCCCAGGATCTCTGAACCACCACAGCTCCACCTGCTCCTCCAGGATGCTGTGCTGAATCCGAAGTGGGTCGGCTGGACCATTTAGGCCCAGTTCAGGGCCTCTGGGACCCCTCAGGGGGGCAAAGTTGTCCAGTTCAGGCATCCTGATGCCACAACCACCCTGCTGAATAAGGTCGCCACCACCACAGAAGACAGAATCCACCTGATAATCCTGTCAGTGCTTGTTTAATTCACAAACAGCTACCCTGGGTGTGTCAGGGCCAGCAGAAGGTTTCAAACGTTTTATGGGTTGCTCCGTACTATCCTTAAAAAAAAAAGCTCAAAGATGGATTGAGTTGGTGGCAATAAAGAGGAAATTAATTTAATGCACCAAATGTTCTAAAACACTTGACTGAGCTCAGTGTATTGTCGTTTTATTTGTCCTGGTCTGTATACAAAGGTTCTACAACATCAGTTCAGGTCTCTTGGTCCTGAGTGAATGATCACTTAGCTCACACTAACTGGATACAAAGATGGATCCAAATCCTCCTTACAGCTTCAACATCCAGAGCACAGAATCCAAACATCCACAGGATTTTCAGTCTGGTTTTGCAAGACGTTGGCAGTCACCTAGAAGAAAGGACAGATGAACTGATGGTGTTGCGACTTATTGAAATGCTACTAAGAAATGTAACAAATGCTAAATTGGTCACATAACATGAAATAGTGCTAAACAATTGGCAAACAAGCTAACTAGCTGTTTTTGTTAAATTGTTCTAATTTAACTTTTGATCTTTTATAGTGTTCTAGGTCTGAGGTGACTATGGCGAGCTAACAATATGATTGGGCAGTACATATATTCTGTTTCTAATCAGACAATAAATGACAGCGCATGAATAGACAAAGGCTTCCTCTCCATCATTCCTAAACCCACCACAAAGCAGAATCTAGGCTTTGCTTAACTTGACAGGCGTCTAGCTGAGCTCAGTTACTGCTGGTTACACTGGCTTAGACTGGTTTAGCATGGGCGCGCACACACACACACACACACACACACACACACACAACATCCAAACTTGCTGTTTTGACTGTGCAAAAAACTTGGTGTGCTGACATTGGCAACCTTTTCTATCTCTCATTATCACTATGCTAATGAGTTGCCACTACCAAGGTGGCTGCCGATAGAATAAACAATGCCCATCCACGCATGCACACGCGTATGCGCACACACACACACACACACACACACACACACACACACACACACACACACAATTGATCAAACAACTAATGCACAAAAGTTAATTTTCTTTCTCATTTGATGAATCCTCCTATTTGAACTCTCTAGTACCTTAAGTAAATTTAATCTTCTTTTCTCCCTAATGTGGCCATTGTCTATACTGTACTGTTATATGTTTTACCACATAACTGTTAATAATCTTATTGTATCTACAAATTTCATTCTTTTTTGTAATATATTCTGTTCCATTCCCCTTCCTTTCTTCCGTCATTCTTTACCATACCTCAGCATTTTTAATCTTTCTACTGTAGTTTGTAACCAAATCATACCCCTATAATACAATCATGTAAACATACACAGAACACACACACATACACACACAAGCAAACATCGTCAAGGTTATGGCTGTTGACAGCCTGTCTTTTAAAACCTGTCAGTGGCTTTATTTCTATCAAAGCCAGCAGTGCGAGGCACAAGCCCATGCGCCTCAACACAAGCTGACAGGAGTTAAAGCTTGTCCTTACCGGCCGTGGATTTTGCTAACACAAACAAAACAAAATAAATACAAAATATGTCACTCTGAACAAGCAAAACATGATCTCACATTCAGTCTACAAAATGGTTTTTTTACCTGTGGCACCAGTGAAAATACAGATTCAGTGACAGATTCAGATTCTTTCCATCTGTTCAGAAAAAAACATAAACTAAATGCAAGCTCACATTTCCTATTAGTGTGGGCAGGTACTGCCTTGTGCTGAGGCAGAGCAGCAACATCGTGACACGGGGAGATATGAGGTGCATACGCAAGGTGTGAAATGAAGAGTGAGGTAATTACAGCAGAGAAGGAGGGGTGTTTATTGGCAACATGCTGTTCTGGAAGCTTATCACATCCTGTATCTGATGGATGATTTTCTGTGTGTGTTTGTTTCGCAAGAGCGAACAGTTGCAAAAAAGGTGAAGATATGAAAAGTGTGTGTGTTTGGCATGTTTGTTTCTTCACATATGATGTGCTTATATATAATTCACACAGAAAGAAAGAGGCGACAGTACCTTTGTGTGTGTGTGTGTGTGTGTGTGTGTGTGTGTGTGTGTGTGTGTGTGAACATGTGTGTTTGTTAAGTTGCTAATTAATCCCAGATGGTTTGAGCTCAGTGTCACTGACAGGTAGCACCACAAAAATAGCACAGTAATTGAGGTGTGTGCCTGTGTGTTTTTTTGTGTCTGAGGTTGAGGCACCAAAGGTGTTAAGGTGACAAAAACAATATATGTGATACTCCACCACTATCCACCTATGTGTCTTATTAAGGTTTTGAAAGTATCATCTTCCTTCATACAGTACAAGTTTATGAAAGATTATTTGTGTTACATTAGATCATGCTGAAGTGAAGCAGGGCCACAACCGGGTGATTGAGCTAGAGGCGATGGCACGCAACAAAGATCATAACATGAAATCGAACCCTTAATGACAGGAGTATATCTTACTCCATGTTGTGTTTCTCACACTGTGATCCCCATAGACACATACACACACATAACCACTGGACTGTGTCTGTCTTACCTCTTTTATCACTTATATGACCTCTAGACTCTGTCATATCAGCCGTGTCATAATGGCCTCATAAATATCTTTACAAAAGCACTGACTCACTGCTTCACCCTCCACTGGAACCTTTTAACTAATATAAAACAGGTACAGAAGCATAAACAATTTACACAGCTCCACAAGAATCATTTTTTCCAAGGACCACTAAAGCCCTTTTTACTGTGCGATTTTATGTTGAGAATCGTGAGAGAAACGTGGTAAAATATTTGGCCTCAAATACTTTTTTCTATTTACATCGTAGTGTTACAATTTACCATGCATTCATCGTGTGGTCTAACATGCCTCAAATTTATACTGTAAAGTTTGACACAGATTGCAACCAAACAATGGTTGTTGTCGCACAGTCTAAAGCCAACTTCAGTCAGTCAACATTTTAGCTCACTACACTTGTGCACTAAAAGCCTCTTGTACATTATGTCTATGGATCTTCACACCTTAGCTGTGAATTTTCACACAAATCCCACAATGCTCTTTGCATATCCATAAAATATGGATCCAACAATGTGCTACTGTATCCAACTGTAAAAACAAATGCACTGAAAAACAGCATTATTGATGATCCACTTTGTACCTTCATTTGTCCAATTAAGAACATTTCGATTGCCAATTAAATCTGACAGTAACTTTCCCATCAAACATTGACTCTTATATCAGCATATTTCACTGTCTGAAGTATCTCACAGAGGCCATAGAAAGCAGCACCAGTGATCATTATCACAATTTATTTGAAACGGATACTATATCCTAAATGGGTTTCTTTTAAGTGACAGGAATAACAAGTGTGTCCTGGACGCTCAGCCCTGCAGTCGAAACTAAAATGACTAAAGACAAGCTAACGCTAACAGTCCAAACATTCTCTGTTATGCTGATGAACTCAGCGCAATGATGAAAAACTCCCGAAGATAATCGTAAACCTTGGACATAGAGTATCATTCTCTCTCTCTATGTCTGTCTCCTCCAAGTTTTCAGCCTGCAAAGTCACCAGAGGAGCTGTACTTTGGAGTAAAAAACAATATACTGCACTCCAATTACCTGGGAAGCTTTGGGACTCCGGTATTCCCCCCTCTGTTATGTCAGCCTGCTGAATTCATTTCATCGGCCATTAGTGTCTCATTTTATTGTTGATTTGTGGTTCTTTTAAAATTGGTTGCCTGGCATTATATGCTAATCAGAATGCCGGTCAGCAGAGTAGGTAAGAAGGCAGCAAGAGCATCCAGCAAATGTGGAGTAGCAAAAATCTTGCTTCTTGTCAAAATGGCAGCGACTCATGAAGTAAATGTTGGACCAGTTAGTTAGAGGTGTTACAGCTCAGCGAAAGTCATACATGCACACCCATGGAATTTCTGTCTGGAGTCCCACATGTATTTCCTTCTTGCTATCAGGGAAAAGCTTCTTCTGCTTTATTCACATTTGAAAAGCGCAATGAAAAACGTGGCTTTCTTGCTGTAAAGAAATCCTTCCCAGATGTTGATTTGCAAGTCAAAATGGCAATATTTTAGCCAGTTGATTGCAGCTTTTCTTACTGTAATTCATTTAGTTCACAGAGGTTATAGGGAAAGGGAAATGTTCAGTCTTTAGAATGAGGAGCATTTTTTGATCTGTCTTCTTGTGGTTTCTTTCAAATGATGTTTGCTATATTTAGAATATTTTGTCAATGTTCCCTCAACACAAACATAGAACAAGAGATCTCTACCAACTAATCAAAGGAAAAATAAGTCAGGCACAATTTTGGAGGTTTACGAGGTCCTTATGGTCCTGCTGCTGAATTTCCTGCTGTGTGCGTTTTTATCCGAGGGCCTTGGGTTGGGCTGAAGGGGAGTCTATGTGTTGCTGTGGTGACAAAGCAATACTCTCCTCCTCTCTCCTTCCTGTCGCATCCCACACACACTCGCACACACACTCTCCTCTAGTCAGGCGCTGATTCTCTTGGTGTCCCCACGGGCGAGGAGAGGGGTCAGGGTTGGCTCCATCTGTCTATGTGATGGGCATTGGTGCCAAGCGCCACGGGGGCTGGAGGAAGAGGAAAGAAGGCTTGTGTGGAGTGGGAGGGTAACGGATGTTTCTGAGCTGTCATCTGGGACTCCAAATGGGGCAGAGGCTGAAGCAAAAAGTGGCTGGGAAGGGGGACGGGGCTGAGAGTGTGGGATAAGGGGGATAGAGGAGAGGGGGCTGAGGATGGAGGGATAGGCTCTGGGCTAGGAATAGCACTGCGACTTAACTGCTGTTCTTAGTGTTACAAGTGTGGCAGGCAAACAGAAATTATGCTGAATAGGTCTTTATGCAGACAAGCTGGATCTTTCTTTCTTCTCTACACAGTCACAATGGACAGCAGAGGCACCCAGGGATGGTCACTCTGTCCGGAAACAGTGAACAGACAATGACCACGTCAGTGTCACTGTCCTCCCTCTGTCAGGGATCACAAGGGAAAACCTAAGACAGAAGCAGAGATAGAAATGCCTTTACATCAGTTGCACATACTGTACTGTAAACTCACCATGGCTTACTTCATCAGAGCTTACCTGTTTAGTCCTCCCCTGTTCTGTCAGTGAATTACAGCTTATATCCACCCAACAGCAACTGCATCATTTCATTCTAATGTCAAAGATGTTCCATCTCTAAAAACTGCTGTATAATTGTCATATCGTCTGAAGTACAAGTCCAATCAAAATGAGAGCCACTTAAACTTTAAGAAAGGAGAAGATGTACAGATGTGCCCCTTAACTGGAATCATTAAGATGTTGCAGCCATAGACATATTCGTCACAAAGCAGTGATTTCTTTTTAGTCCTGCATGGCTCTAGAAATGGCAATACTGGTTGGTCAGTCAGTTAGGCCATCACTTTGGTCTAGAATTAAATCTCTCTACAACTATTGGATGGATAGCCATGGAATAGTCCCTAGGGGATGTATCCTAATGACTCTGGTGATCCCTTGGAGATCCTCTGACACTTCATCTACCACCATCATCAGGTTGAGGATATCTTTTAATGCTTTGGTTTATGACAAAATCTAAACTAATGACATTCCTATCAGCCTCAGCTCTACTTTGTGTTTGGAGCTAATTAGTAGATGTTAGCATGCAAACCCACTAAACCAAACGAGATAAACATTATACCTGATTAACCCTTGTCATTGTGAGAATGTTAGCCTGCTGCATGCTAGCTTGGCTGTAAATTCTTAGTCTTAAAGATCATTAATATTTGAGACTTTAAACAGACCCCTCCCATTTCAATTCTCCCTCTTACTTTCTGGCTCCTCAGATGGTTTAATTCCACCCTTTCTGAGTGAGCTCATTTCTCACCTTATGGCACAGCATCACCCCAACCAGCACAACCAGCCAAGATCCACCCCCCTGACACATTCTCCTCATACAACCACACACTCATCCCCATCTGTTTTCCCTCCTTATCTCCCCAGCCTTCCACACCTTCCTTACTTTGTTCTACCTCACTCCTCTCCTCCTCTGTCTCACCACCAATGCTCCTTTATCTAGCTAACTTCTTATCTGCCCCGTCTGCTGTCTGCTCTGGCGTTTTGGTGTCGGAGAGAAAGATGTGTGCATGGGTTGGGGGGGATTACTTGTCTTTGCCACAGTTTCCCCCTTTGGCTCCAGGTAGTGCTGCCTGACTCAAAGCCCCTGTGGCATAACACTTGCAAGGACATACATCCACACAGTGTGCTGCACCTGTTTCCTGCTGTTATGTTTACATCTTCTTTTCAGTGAGATTGATGTGTCATTACCATTAGAAATCCAATTATTCATCAACCTCAGTAGAAGTCATCAGTAACACACATTAACAATATAGGCCCAGATCGTCAAAACGTGATTTATGAAAATGCACAGAAAACATTTTCAGTCTGTTATCTAATATGGCATATGGCATTTCCCTGTTTTTAAATAGAGCTTCCTCATCTCAATGGTGGTACACACTGCTGTTGACAAAAATTTAACCCAGCCCAGTCTAGTTCAGTTTAGCACAGGCTGTGGGCCCCATTCAGCCCCTTTACTTCAACAGGAGCCAAATGCTGGACTATTTCTTCTTCTGTCAAATCTCCGTTACCAAACAAGAACAAAGAAATTATGTGGGTTTTTTTGGGTGGGGAAGTTGGAGGAAATTAACTGAATAACATACATAATGAGTAGCTGTGTCAGTCCATGCATTGAAATAGTGACTGTTGATTTTTTTAAAAGAATAGAAAAACCTCTGGGCAGCTGGTTGCTTTCCTATGTCGCGCACAGCTGCAATATTAAAACGCTAATCAAATCACCAATTAACATGCTGGTCCCCTTCTGCCTGACTCCTGCTGACGATGAGAAAGAGACAACCTTTTCCTTTTTTCTTCAGTCTTTGTTTTTTTAACCCTCATCCCATCCTCTTGTGGGTTCAGAGGTGATATTCAGCATATTCTAATTTGATGTTGGCTGTCTAACGATAATGATTGTAATGAATGAGATGGCTGGCTAGATGTCTGGCTGTCTATCCTATTTGTTGACTACCTGAAGGCTTTATATTGCAGCAGCACCTTCTGATTTAGGTTGAGAAAATGGTGCTTTGGTATTTTTGGCCACATGGATTGCCATGAAATGTTGTAGGCCTACATATAGTAATTTTCCCCAGAGAATCCAGTCTATTGACTTTGGTGATACCCTGTTTTTTTATTTTCTCTAGCGCCTCTATGTGATTAACATTTGTGGTTTTAAGTGAAATATCTCAACAACTACTAAATAGATTGCCATCAAAGTTGGTACAGACATTCATGTTCCCCACAGGATGATTTGTAATCATTCTGGTGACCTTTTGGGAAATACATTTAATTGCTTTCTTGCCAAGAACCAGATGAGAAGACTGAACCATTAGTTGATAAGTCTAGTTTAGCCCAGAGACTGGATATGGGGAGAAACAGCTAGCTTGGCACTAAGGTAGGCTAATTAAATCTGCCAACCAGCCCCTCTAAATCTTAGCAATTAACGCGTTACATCTAATTTGTTTAATTGGTACAATTGGCCTAGACCAAGTAATAGTCTGGCACATAATCCATTGTAAAATGGCAAATTGCAGTTTTAATAGACCAAGTAACTTCCTAGTTCTGGCCAAGAAATAGTCAGGCCAAACACCTGCAAAACTAACGACTTTTCCATCAGCCTCAGTTGTAGTTTGTGATTAGTGCTAATAAGCAAATGTTAGCATGCTCAAAGCCTAAACTAACGCAGTAAACATAGTAAACATTATATCTGCTGAACATCAGCATACCAGTGCCAGTATGAGTATGTTAGCCTATGTACTAATGTTAGCATTTAGTACAGTACAGTGTCACAGAGGTGCTAGAATGGCTTTGTAAAATTGAAGTATTTTTGTGGCTAAAAGTTATGCTTAGCATTTTTCTTCCACCAACACTCACTATACTGAATTAGTTATATATACTGGTTATATTGAATTGATGATGCTAATAGGTGGATGCAGTAGATGCAGTAGGTACAGCTGCTATTGATGACACACTACATACCTGACTCTGCTGACTGTGAAACAAAACGCCTCTTGGGGATATTTAAGATTCTGGTCTACTCTCTACTCCACTCTTTGTCTGGCATCCATGTCACACATGCACACACATACACAGCCACAAACACACTCTTCACCTATACAGTGCTCTCATATAACTCCTCCACTTTGCACGGTCATCCACTGACACAGTCACCGGCTGACTTTGTTTTCCTCCTCCTGTTCTTTCATCCAGCGCTTTGTGTTGGCTTCAGGCTCTTTTCTAATGAGGTCTATCACATGTTGTTTTCAGCCTGACTTGAGTTAGAACACTTCTCAGATCTCTAAATTATATCTGGTGTAGTAAGTGCGACAGCATCTAACCTACTTCAGATGTCCTGTAATGATTCATCTGTGGTCTTTTGATTACTAAAACAGATCTATATGAGCAAAGTGGCACAGGGGGTCGTGCCTGGACAGTCTATTGATCTGTTCCAATCGCAATAACTTAAATACAGCATGGACAACACTTCCTCTCCCTGTGGTTTATGAATTTTTCCACAATGCAGCAGAACTGACCTCTGAGTATATGACAGTAGCCCTATTGTATTGTATAATGATCTACAATGCACATTAAGTGCACATGGTAATTGCTATCCCGCTAGTGCAAAGGTTAGGGTGTGTTACAATGTCAATATGTTTTACTTCCTTGTTTTTAACTGAAACAAATTTGACAATTCATAATTAGAAGATCCAGATCACAAGAACATTACCTGGATCATCACCATAATCCAGATTCCTAATTCAAATAACATTTAGATGTCATCAAGAAAAGCACTTGTGAATCTACAGTCTTGTCTGTTAATTTATTACTTAAATAATGATTTTATTTTCAGTTGCAGGTAACAACATTACACAGTGAGTGATTGATGAACAAAATATGTTTTTTATGTTTGAAAATTCTATCAACACTTATTGTAGCTGAGCCTTCCAGCAAGTCCCTACAAACAAAAGAGGTTGCATTTCAACTCAAAGCTTTTGTGACTTTGAAGATCATGAAGTATGATAGGTTTAGACATAGGTTAATAGTAAAATTAGGGAAGGAAAGACACCAACACTGTTGTGTATCAGCACATGTATGATTTTAGTAAGTTATTTAAAAAAAATATTATGTCAAAGTTTTTAAAAAACATTCATTGTTAAATTGAAGCCTATCAGCAAGTGATATGAGTTCAATTTAAACTCACTAGGTTATTACCAAATGTAAAAGTATTTCGTTGAGAAATTTTAGTCTTATAATTCAGTAATAATAATTTTTATTATCGTTATTGGCCTATATTATTTAATTGTTTATTGTTATTTATTGTTGTTTTCATTAGGGAATAAGCAAAACAGATATAATTAAGCACCTAAAGATTCCTAATAAATAGGCTACGTTTAAATGAAATAAATACAACAAATAGCCAAAATAAAAAAGGAAAAGCTGTTTGTTTAAAAAAAAAAAAAAAGTTGTAACGGGGCAGCTTCTTTCTTTCTGTATTTAGTTTATCAGAAGCCTGTCTTACCTGTGCGCTCAGCTGCTCAGACTCGGTCCCTTCTATTCGGAATCGTGCTGGTCTATTTCGTCTTTAATCTTAAACCCCAGCCTGTGTCCACGGTTGCAAAGTCTCAGTGCCACCAATCATTGGGCGCCTTCATGCCTTCACCCTTCTCGGATCAAAGTGTCCAGATTAATGCGATGCGAGCTGCTGAAGGTGCTCGTCTTCCTGCCTCTCCTCTCCCTTCAGTTTCTCTGCTTCTCCACCGGACGGACTTTCCCCGTTTAATGCAGGTGTGGCCGCGCATGCCGATGGGAGGGGACAGAGAGTCGGTGGATCGACCTCCACACCGCCGTGGGGCCCCGTGGGGAACCGCAGCACATGACACGGGGTATGACAGCTCTAATAAATAGAAGCCACAATGTGATTGTGATATCCGCCGATGGGCTGAATGCTTAGTCAAGTGGTTTAACCCATATGGTCTCTAAGGAGGAAAAAATGCAATTTGTCTCTGTGCATAGCTCATCAATAACGCCTGTAGTCATGTTGACTGATTGATATAATATTAATGTAGTCATCATTGATTAGCAACAAGGGCATAGAATGTGGTTACCTTATTGATTCTCTGCATGTGTCATTTTACATGCACATAAACTTTATTTGTGATTTTAAGATTGAAATTTCATTTGGAAACAGTAGTAGTATTAAAACAATCCCAGCACAATGTCCATTTAGTTTATGTGCCATATAACTGTTAGGCAATAAGTCACAGCTTGTAAACAAATTTTGTTTAAGCCAGCTTTATTCCTACGATAATAACATACTTCATATAATTGAATTCTATTTCTGTACTTCTCATTTTCTTTTCGTAAGCACAATAATATTATTTTCCCTATAGGACACAGGATAAACATGAATTTGTATGCATGCATGGTGTTGGTGGTGAGGTATTCATGGACATGAGTTGCAGAAGGTGATTAGGACTGCTAACAATTATTTTCATTACTGATTCTTCTGCTGATATGTTTCTTAATTTATCGGTTAATCGTTTTATCTACGATACATCAGATAATGGTAAAAAATGCCATCAGGATTTCCTTAAGCCCTAGGTGATGTCAACCAATGTCTTATTTTGTACGATCTGCAGTTGAAGTCACAGATTGTTTACTATCATAGGAAACAAAGCAACAAATCTTCACAATTGAGAAGATAGACTGGAAAAATAGTTTTAGATAACTGTTTTGTTGAACTAGTCATGTTGGTATGTGCATCCTCATCTGTTGATTCTTGAAAGTGAATCAGAATCAGAATTGTCCCATATTTCAGCAGGCTTCCTCCTCTACCACTTCTTCAGGTTCGATATGTTCATCGTCACCAGGGCTACAATCCAAAATTAGATCAAGTGCTTCATTCACAGTCACTTGCACATTGTGGTGCTACCACCGAGTGGTATGTGCAGACAAGTTTTATTTATAGATCAAAGAACAAGAACTGATCATTGTAGTTGTGTTGGTGCAATATTGTCTATGTGACAGAGAATGTGAGAATATGAATGTGGGACTGTGGCTGAATGCATGAACTCTTTGTTTTTATTTGACATTATACATGTTTGAACATCAGTCTGTCGATAACTAAATATGTAAACCATTTCAACTTTAGAGAAAAAATACCTTCACAGATAATTGTTCCTTCTACTAAATAGCCTCCACATCAATCATGGCATCTCAATGGCTGTTATTGATTAATTTTGTTTGGCTGTGCCAAGAGTACTTCACATCCATTTACCTCCTCTGTAGCCTAGAGATGTGCCATAACTGGGATAATGTAAAAATAACACTTTATGCCTGTCAGTGTGTGAAGCAGTGGTGCAGTGGTGGCCAAAAGGTTAGGAAGCGAGCTTGTGAAGGTTCAATCCTCCAGACCTGCAGGATAAATCTAGGTGGGGAAAGTGAAAAGTAGTGCTTGGCCCTCCCTCATTACCACCACTGAGGTGCCCTTGCGCAGGGCCCTTAACCTTAACTGCTCTAGTGGAGCTCCTCAATGGCCAGCAGATAAGACTGGTTGTACTGAACAGCTTCCATGTGTGACTGTGTAACTGTGTGAACGTGATTAGGGCGTTCCTGAAAGAGAATCACTTCTCAGTGAAACTGTCCTCTCATTGTTCCAGGCTCAAGCTGAGGAACAATGCCTTTGTCCCTTACAGAATAATCCTAGTCTTATGTGTTGAATATTGAATATCATATATTTCTTGGGACATCATGTTTAAGAGGCACTATGATGTTTATTAACATTTCAAGAATTTTTCAGAAACACTGAAGGTCTTTGGTGCCTGGTTCAGCTAAAGATTGTGTGTGTTAGGCAGTAAAACTGCATTTCAAGGATTTTGTTAAGGACTTTAGGCTGGACTGGAAGTTTTGCAAAAAGCTCACCATCTGCAGTGTGCCCAGTGAGGTCATTTATTTTGCAATGAATTTTTCCTGGAAACACTGCCTGAAAATGTGTGCCATTATCCTCATATTTACATGATTATAGCGTCTTGGCCCTCTCAATGACGGCATGCACTTCACCCTGCCTTTGAGTGTGGCTGTTCAGAACAGCTATAAACACTTTAGCTTTCTGACGTGGTCAGACAACATGTTGTACGAACTTGTTCTTTTCGAGTATACCCCTGACTTTCTCTCAGTCGGTGTCTCAGATAGCAGTTAACACTTCCTCTTGTACTGCATGTGGTGATTACATGTCTGATTTATGAGAAGCTCTGAATAGCAGCTTCCTGCTAATATTATGTCAGTTTTAAGATTGTGGAGTGTCAGTCAAGCTGAAATAAATCTATACTATTTTTGAAATGTGTTGTTCCAAAAAACATTTTCAAGCAGATCTTGTGTTTTGCATCTACATCTACTGGTGCTGGATGATGCACTCATCACTTTCAGCCTTGCTGAGGCACAGCACAGTGTTTCTGTCGATCCAGCCAGCAAACTCACTCAGGGAGGTAGGGCTTTAGTGGGGGGTGACTGACAAAACAAAGACAGTATATCATTTGGTTACATTAGCAGCTGACTTACTTGTTTATTTTTGTTATTTAAAAAAATAATTTTTGTTCCAGTTGCATTATGTGCCCCCCTACTGAACTAAACCAAATATCAACAATGAATGAATTTTAAGTGGCTGCCATCAAATGGCCCCAAAGAGGGTGGTTGAAAGATGAGTGGGAAGGAAAATGTTACTGATGTATTCTCACAGCAGTGTATTTTATTCAAAGTGAAATTACATTGCAAAAGGTCATGTTTTCTTAAAATGCTTCTTACTCAGCAACTAATCACTGGTTAGACTGCAGACTATACACACGCATTATCAGTTTGGCACATTATATTGATTATTGCATGTTCTTTCCAATGCTGGAAAGCTGCCTTTCAGTCAGTTCTGTCATTCAGAACTCACTCGCTCACGTCAAGTAGAGTTAATTTACTATAAAACACTTTTGTATATATATGTAATATAATACAATTTATTTGCTGCAGTATGATGCCAGACCTCGTTAGTGTGCATTGTTTGATTTATGTACAAAAAACCTGCCTCATCCCTAAAGACCATTCATTCAGATGAGATCAGTACTGTCTTTAGAGTAGAACCTTGACAAATTCATAGCCTTTAGAAGTAGATACCATGTACATCAGTGACATTTGATAATTAAAATGCATTGAAACACAAGCCAAGGCAGGTTTTAAATTATTTTTAAAAAGAGCTTTTCGCTGTGCCAAGAGGTTGACATTCTGTGAGTCACAACTTGTTTTTCATCATGTTCCTCTTCAGACCCACCATGTTTCTATCCAGGTGCTCCCTGTGGCAGGAAAACTCCATCTGTGGCTATTATACCTCTACCTGTGAGAAAAGGGGAGTGTTCTCGTGAACAGATGTACCACAATCTGTTAATAGTGGTGACACTGCTGCAAGAAATTAGTTTTCTCCTTGAAATGCAGTAAAAAAATGGATTCATATCCCAAAAAGTAGTCAAGTAGCCCAACAGTTGTAGATGGTAACCTATGACTTTGAAGGAATGTTCAGTACTGGAAGTAATTTTGTTTATCATAACTTTTATGTGAAAAGATGGTAGAGGAGAGGTGAAGAGATGACCTGGGACATTGCTACTAAACTATGGTAGCGGTTAGTGATGCACGCAGAAATAAATGCAGTCACTTCAATAACTCTTCATTTCACACACATGAATTCACCTCCAGATTCAGACCCACACACCTGCAAACACTTTGCAATTTTTGGCCAGAAAAAAGGCATTGCACTGACAGCTACACACACACACACACACACACGCACCATTTCTTTCTATCACAAGACATTGCATCAACTTACATTCATTCCCTGGTGACTCAATCTAACCTGAACCACAACCACTAAAAGCCTCAACCCTAATCTAAATCTTGACCCTAAAATGGAATGACTTACATTGCAGGGACTTGATTTTTGTCCCCAGTGTGACTGTATAAGCAAATCTAAGTCCCCATATGAGAAACACACTGACACACACACAAAATCCCAAAACTTCTGCATCATATTCTGAACAACACACTCTCCCTTCACCTCCACCCCTCGTTTGTAAATGAAACATGCATTTGGTAGCAAACATGCATTAAAGCATTTATCTTTTCGATGTAAATGTAATATTTTATTCTTTTCAGCCTTTTTATTGATTTAATTATTGATTTCATTCAAAAATATTTACAAACCTAACATTTTGTGCAACAAATGACATCATCAGACTTTGCCCTAAAAAACCATACAGTACATCCACTAAACTACAACCACTGTATGCCTGAGCCCAACCATAACATTGACTTTAACCTAAACTTAATTGTTAATAGTAAAACCAAGTACTAACCCTTAAACAGCTCTTTGAACAGAGAAGTGAGAGGAGATATGTCCTCCAAGTATGTCCCTGTTTAAAGGTCTAAAACTCAGAAAAATAGAAAGAGTGTTCCCTATCTCTCTCTCTCTCACACACACACAAACACACACAGAGTGAGAGAGGCTGATCAAGCACTGATCAGGCGCCTGATCCTCGATCTATACGGACCAGTGTCTCATTTCCATTTAAATTAAAGATACCCCAAGTTGGCAGGACGATACAAACTATCACCAATGATGAAGGGAGCAGAAACTTTTCTTGTCCAATAACAGCTGCAAAATGAGCTCCTTTGATCAATAATAGTTTGTTTTTGTTCTATCTAATGATTGAGCAGATGTTTTCCAAGAATCTCTAATTGCCCTTTTTTAGGTAATGA